GAGGACGACTAAGCACAACAGCCCGAGGAACAGAGGGAGGCCACTGCGTGCACCGTTAGCCGAAGGCGCGGGAGGCTGAGGCAGGGAATTCAGTGCCCCGTCGCCGGGGTCTGGCCGGCTGTGGGCACCACATCCATGCGTGGGGGTGTGCACAAGCCATGGAAAGCCCCGGTGTTTCCTTGCTCTCCTCTTACTTTTCACATTCGATCTGCTAAGTCGCTGTCACGCGACACATCTGTTTATGGCAAGGGCCAGGCTGGCATGGGAGGCTGTCGCCCTCTCTGCCTATAGGCCGTACGAGGCACCGGTGCCCACCGCGCTCCATTTTTACCTGGGCGTGGCAGAGGGGATGAGGCCGGTCCCAGCCCCCGGAGCCTCTCCACCTTACTTCAAGCTATTCTGCAGCCAAGGACATTTTCCTGAATCTGTTCCCAACGAGACTGGAGGTGGGGTGCACGATAGCTTGGCAAAATATGCAGGCTCAGGAATCGACAGACTACATTTACGTCAAGTATGATGAACTATTTGTGGAGGCTGGCTGCGGAGCACGGCTGTCTGAACGCCAAAAATAATAGCATCGAGAATAATAATAAAACAAAGCTGGCACGGCACCTTGTCTTGTGAAGGGAGCCAATTCCTAGCGGACGGCAGGGACTCCTGCACCCCAAGAGGAAAACACATTCCTGCCCACACGCTCCGCTTTGTTCCTCTCGGCAATTTTATCCCCCACCTCCAGTGCACAGTCATTGTGTCTCTCTGGAAAGTGCAAGGTGTTGGTTCTAAATATAAGCTGTCTGCATGTGATTCCACACACAGTTCCTCCCTGACGACGGCTGTTTTTTCAAGACTGCTGCTCTCACTGGTGGAGAAGAGGAAGATTCTCTCCCCACATTCTCTTGGTAGAGCTCTACAGGGGAGATGTGGGCGTAGCTATAAATGCAGGGATGTCAACACAGCTATGCAGACGCAGCTATAGAGAGGAACCATCATCAGTCGCGCTTCGCGCAGATCGAGAGCGAAAACTCCCCTGACCCCACCAGGACCACACATGACGAGGGGTTGTCGGGCGCAAGAGCTGTGTGTTAAGATGCAAGATGATAAAAACAAACTCTGCCGACCCTCGCTTGAACGACACGGTATAAACGCCGGGGCGGATGAGTGACCCTACAGTGCTGGACGGCGGCCCCCACCTGCCCTGAGCGCCAGGAGAGAGCAAGGGCTGAAGCTGGGCACGGCAGAGAGGGCACAGGCAGAGAGAGGCCTGCCGGTGCTACCTCGGGCCCCAGCGTGAGCCAGATTTCCCTGCCCGGCTGGTCACCTCACCCTGCTGCGCGGGGGCTGGGGAGGGAGGCCCACGAGAGGACAAGACAGACAACTGACGGAAGCAACAGCCTCTGCCACCAAACCCACAGGATGTCTTTCCTCTCGGGAGAGCCGAGCCCCGGGCCTGAAGGAGCGTGACAGAAACCTCAGGTCACTCGTGCTCCGCCAGCTCCGGTTCACACGTGACCACCAGCTGCTCATCTTCCACTTCTGTTTCCTTACAGTTGGGTAAGATCTTCGTTGCTACGTGGCCTTTCTCTCCAATCCTTTCGTTATAAAGGAGAGCATGCCCCACCCCGCCCGAGGGCAGAGCCCAGGCCAGCTTGGCAGCATCATCTCGTCTACGCGATGAAATGACCCCTTTTCAAGGGAGGGAAGAAAAGCAGGTCAAACCCTGAAATGAGAAGCGGAGCAGAGCCCCCACATATAGTCTCCAGCTGGAACAAAGACCAGACGTTTCCTAACCAGCAGGGACCGCAGCCACGCCAAGCCCCAACAATGACTGAATAGCTCGCGGTTGTCATGGCGACCTCAGCCCGCCTCACACAGCCTAGATGTCAGATGACGACGCATCGGGGTCAGGACAAGAATGTTGGTGAGATCACCACCCCGGGCAGGCTCGCCTTCCTGGCACGCCTGAGCTTCTTGAGTGCCAGCTACCTTCTAAATCCACCTGAGAATATTCTGGACCACACGCGGCCTCTTGACATATGCTGAGGACACGGGCGTGGTCCTTCTCTCTGCAAAGCTCACCACGTTTGAAGCCACTGCACGGCCTAACCAGCTCAAGAGATTTCTGATCAAAGCACGTGTGACCTAATTCCCCCTGCTTTGCACAGCGAAATTCCTTCAGCAGTGAGTCAACAGACGAGAGGAGACGGCGCAATGCAAACGGCGTGGAGCGGGGAGAGTGTTTGCTCATATGATCGCACGGAATTGTTTCTTTTGTCTTGGAATTGTTTCTTTTGTCTTCTTAAGCCTCCGCTGGGAGACGGAGCAGCGAAAGCATCTTCTCTGGCTGCGCCGTGGTCTTTGTGGCGCGCTAGGGAGTGACATGACTTTCTAAGCGTGAAATCCACGAGTGTGGGGCAGCCTCCGAAGACAAGCCAGGAAACGCAGCAGCTTTGAGCAATTTGGGAGCGAGGGATGCCTGCCTGCGGGGGCCAGAATGTGACCCATCTCCAGCCAGAGCCCCCGCAGGGTCTGAGCTAGGGGGCCTCTCCTGGGCCAGCACCTGCTTCCTCCTGCAGGGACGAAGCACTCATCAGGTCAGAGCAGAGAGTGCAGGGAAAGAGGAAGACATCTCCTCTCAGCTCTGAGTCCCAGCGGGGAGATTCCTAACCCTGACGGGGGGAGCTGATGCAGTCACCACCCAACAGGTGGGCAGGGAGGTACAGACTTCACCAGGGTGGGGACCAGCTGCCCCAAGGGCTGGCTCAGGCGCGGAGGGCGCCCCTGACTGGCACATCGTCCACCCAGCTCACACCCCGTCGTCTTCCCCAGCAGCCACGCTGGCTGGAGCTCAGCAGCCTGGGGAGCAGCTGGTGTCCGCCTGGCCTGGCAAGCTCCTCCTTCCAGCCTTCGGGGGGAGGCACATGCAGGCGGACTCAAGCTTCCCAGGGTGCCTGCACCCAGAGGCTTCTGCCGGAGCCTGTGCCCACAGGGGCCCGCTGCTGGTCACCCCCGGCCAGATGGGCAGCGCGCAGGCGAGACTGCCGGAGAGACCGAACGATGCTTTTACATTGAAGACGACTCGGCACCAAGTGGGAGCGAACGAGGCACCCGCAGTGAGAAAGGTTCTGTTCCGTGTCTCCAGGAAAGACGAGGTGGCGTGCTCAGACACGGCCCGTCCTCACCGAGCACGTGAGCACGGCCCGCGGAGAAGGCGGCTTCCAAAGAGAGAAGCAGACCGAGACTGTGAACCTGAGGATCCTCCAGTCACGAGCGCACGCCCTGCCACGCCGCGGCCTCTCATCCCAGCGACAGCCTGGCCCGCAGCCTCCCCGGAAGCCCGAGGACGCACCCTCCGTGCAGGCCGCCAGAGCTGAGCGTGCTCGGAGGTTGGCTCTGGACCGGAGGCCAGTCCCGCTGCCCCTGAAGTTCGCAAGGAGTGACCGAGCCGAAGGGGAACACGACAAAATGAGATCAGCCACGAGGGCAAGTCACAGGGACCCTCCTGGCCCCCGTCCTGCTGCCTGCTGTGCCCATCGGAGCCTGGGCTTCCTGGCAGGCCCCCAAGTACCCGGGCAGGGCCCAGGAGCGGAAGGGCTATGCCCCCTGACCGGTCTGTGTGCTCGGGGTCCCCTCCCCCACAGGCACGCTGGGGTCCCCTCCCCTGTGACACGCCAGAGTCAGCAAACCACTGATGGGAAGCAAAGAGAAACAACTCTTTGAAGCTTTCTGATGCCCGAGGGGATCCAGAGCCTCACAGTGACTTGACCCCAGACCTGCCAGCGCCCCCTTGGCTGTCTGCGCAGGGGCAAACCCCGCCCACCTCCCTAAGAAAACGTGGCCCAGATGGGCTAGTCGGAGCCCGAGGAGATTAGGCGCAGGCAGGGACCCAGAGGACAGCTAAGCTGGGGCTCCGGACTGCTGCACCAGATCTCTATCAGGCAGCTCTAAGTCATCAGGATAAACCGGCTTGCAAATTAACCTAATTTCTTCAGAGTCAAAAGTTGAAAATGCGAAGAATTTGTTGAGTGGTGTGGTTTGAGCACAGCGGGATGTTTGCAAGCCGCCCCCTCCGGTCCTGGCGTCCTGACCTGTCTCTCTGCGGCAAGGGCTGGGGGCTTGCACTGGTCTGCCCCACACCTTCCAGAATCAGTAAGACGAGCAGACAGATGCTCCCTCTGGGTGAGCTTGTCTCCCTGTCCCCGACACACACACCACACACACTTTGTATGTTTTCTCGTTCGGGCAGAACAGGAGAGAAGACGCTTGAGCTCGGTCATCTCTGTCCCAGGAACCACTCGTTATCTTTTGACAAGGGACGATCGGAAGGGCAAAGTGCTTCGTGCTGACGTGCAAGGGGAAACGTAGAGGAGCACTGGCGTCTTCGGTGACGCCCTTGCTGGTTTGAATCACGTTAAGCAAGCCTGCTAGGTGACCGGCTGTGGGGGGATTAGCTGAAACCCCGCCAAGGTTCACCCAGCTCAGCGAGAACATTTCTGTGTGCCGTTCCCTTCCCGCCCTGTGCGTGTTCAGTTAAGGCGATTATTTAATGCCCTTTAATCATGTCCCATAATCACAACAAAAACAGAATGGAAGAGAGAGAGACGCTGATGTTCTTATCTTGCAGGTCAGCTACATTTTTTGTATCAATGTAAATACGAATAAGCACTGCCAAGGACGGGAGGACTTCCTAAGTACTAACCACAGAAAATATTCACTCGTGTCCGCAAATGGGAGATCTTAGATGGCACTTTTGTGGCACAAACCTACCCTCCCACACCTATGGCCTGTAACCCAGTTCTTGCATGCATAAATAAATAAATAAATCTCATCATAATCCAAAGGGAAGGGGACTTTGTGGGAACTTATGGTGCTGGTGGGCCAAGGCTGGCTCCTGAACTACCTGCCGCTGTCTAACACATTGCATCACAATGGCATCGCAATATAAGACAATGGCCACTTACCTCCTGCAGTTCCTATGGGTGATGAATTTGGGAGCTGCTTACCTGGGGTTTCTGGCTCAGGGGCCCCTATAAGGTTGCATTCAAGATGGCAACCGGTGCTGTTCTCATCTGAAGGCTCGACTGGGGATGAGGATCCGATTCCCACATGAGATGTGGGCAGAGCTGGCAATCTGGTGCTGGCTATTGCCAGGAGGCCTCTGTTCTTCACAAGGAGCTCTCCATGGAGCTGCCTAATTGTCTTCAGGACCTGGCAACTGGATCTTCCCAGAACAAGGGGCTGAGAGAGAGCAAGGCCCAAGGGACAGTGGCTTTTTAATGGCTGATCCTCCAAGATTCACATGCCACCTTCTCCACGGTCTTCCATCAGTTAGAATATTGTACTGGTCAGCGCTCCTCAAGGTGGGGGAACTGCATAAAGACGTGAACGCAGGATTGAAGAATTATTGGGCACCATCTTGGAAGTTGGCTATCTCATACGGTTTCTCAGAAAACAATGAGAGAAGTGTCAAGACCTTGGTGAGAAAAGAAGGGTCAGAACTGAGTCCAGGGCTTAGAGATAGCTCAGCTTGTAGTGTGACAGTGACCCATTCAAATTCAGCATCGAAAGATACATGGCAAACACGGGATGCATCTGAGACATCAAAGGCCAGAGGTGACACAACTCAGTGAATGGCTGAGGCGGCTAGGGACTTGAAGGGCAATGCTTGGAGTCAGAGGTCAGTATGGTCCACTGTGCTTGGGGCAAGATTCGAGGCAGCAGCTGGGGAGAGAGAATGCAGCCCCAGGAGAAAGGAGTTGGCTGGAAGCCAGGTCAGTCTTCAGGCTGTCCAGTGATGGAGAGAGCCCAGCAGGACCAAGACCTAAGTCAGAGCCACTGTCCAGTTCAGGAGCCCCACATGCCCATAGCAATTCCCCAAATATCAAGTATGAGGCCAGAAACACGAGCATGAGTTTCAAGGTCATTCCTAGGCCCGAAGCATCTGGCAAGCTCAGGATCTAGGGTTTGAAAGTAGGGAAAGAAAAGATGGCACCCACCAGCGTCCACCCCTGGAGAGTTCCACAGGCCCCAGGCGTGTGTGCAGTCAGATCTGGCCTCTCAGGCTGAGGCTCCAAGGCCTCCAAGGCCTGCCACATACTAGCAACTTTCACACTGGGCCCTGGGGGGGAGCCCCAGTGTGACCCCAGTTATCCCCAGTCTCATAAGCACTAACTCCACTGGTCTCCAAAGTTAGATGCTTTGGGAGAGTGTCTCTCAGGTGAAACTTAAAAGCTGGGGTGCTCAAGAAGCAGGCAGGAGCTGTTAGTTCCCTCCTGACTGTGGGCCTCAGCTGGGCCGGGAAGCGTGGGACTGGTCCATGGAGAGACTGTGTCCCAGCCTCCCCACCTCCTTCACGTGGGCCTTCCTGACCGTCTGCAGGATTGCTCGTCCAGCAAGGAGGTTTTGCCCAGAGGAAGATGTTTCCTCTGTAACTGCAAAAACAGGTGTGTCCATGGAGGAAGTGTATTCAGGGTCCTCCCAGCCCTCCCCATCTTGACATGGAAATGGAACATCCAGATCCAGGCAAGAGGACGCAGGCTGTGGACAGTCCCCCAGGCCGAGAGGGGCTCAGGAAACTGGGGACAGGCCGGCGAGTCCTTCAAAATGTTTCGATGAGGAGGATGCTTTCAGCTTAAACACAGAGACTGGCATTCTCTTGACAAGCACCTGGGTGGCACCGGTTGGCCTGCAGTGATTCTGGAATGTTCTGGACCGCTGTCCCTCCAGTCGTGGACTCTGTGTACAAGGCAGAGACAGAGGGAAAAGTGAGTGTCTACACTGTCTACGCTTTCATCCAGGAGGCAAATCTTTCCTTGCAGGGCCCACAAAGAGGAGTCACAAGACCAACCTTGGCTACGAGAGGCTGGGAAAGTAGGAGCTGACCAGGGAGAAGGAGGGACATTAGACTCAGGGACACACCCGTGTACACAGGAAAAGGTATCTTGTTAGTGGAGGGATGCCCTCACAACAGCTTTCAGCCTCTGCCGAAAGCACAGAACCACCTAAGAGCCCCGCCCCGCAGCCGCCTTAGTCAGAGTGAGGGATGCTGCTGAAGGCTCTAGCAGTTGGAACTTAAGTACCTCCCCAGCAGAAGGGGAACCTCACAGCAACAATATATGCTCCTATGTGCCAGATGCTACCCCAGGAGCAGGCAGGACAGCTGGAAAACCCACAACCTGACTTCCATGTGTCTGCAGACTTTCCAGCATTGCACGGACCTGTGCGGTAGCAGTTAGGAACAAAAGCAGCTAGTGCAACCGACATGCAGCTGCTGCAGGTCCTACCAGGGTGAGGAAGTTCCTGTCCAGTGAAGCTGGTGACATACAAGCTAAGAATTCTGCCCGGAACGTAGCCCCTGTGATACAAGTAAGCGACAACAGATACAGCGTCACGCAGGACCAGCCTGTACTGCTGCCTGACACAAGACTCTTCTCTTTCATTGCAGGGGGGAGGGGTGTGGGCTGCTGCTGTTTTTCAGATGGACATAATGGCATGAAAAGTTTAATGCAAATTTCTAATTGAAAATGCCGGTGAACAACCAACCGGAATCAGGTCGTTTTCCTGAACTGACTGATGTCCGCTGACAGATTGTTTGGGGCTTTTGTTTATTATTTCTGTAAGATCACCCAGCTTGAGAGCCACCGCCCCACACACTGCTAAGTGACCAGCACACTGTTGTCACCTAAAGCTCCTGTGTCTGCTGTCCAGAGCCAACTCATCCTGCACAACAGAAATCGCGTGCGCACTGATGAACGGCTCGTTCCTTCCCCTGCCCGGGCAAGCTCCCTGGTTTCTGCTTCTGTGGATTTTGGAGTCTAGATTTATTCCAGATACTTCACAAACTAGCAGCACCTAGAGACTGCAGGAAAAGCTGAATAGCTGTACGAGTCCAGCTGCAAACGGTCAGTTGGCTTCAGAAGCTGCGGTGAGAGTACTTCATGCTCATGACTCTTCCTTCCGCTTTTCCTCCTGAACGCGCACTGCTGCTGGCCAGCAAGGTGCCTTGCAACCCACCGTGTTTCTCCAATGCACCTGCTACACAATATAAAGTCACAACTTGACAGCACAAGCCTATAAGACCTCTCGAGGTAGAGAGAGAGAGACAGCGATAGACAGAGATGGATGGATGGAAGGATGGATGGATGGACAGACAGCCAGGATGGAGGGATGAACTGAGTGGGTGGGTGCATGGATGGATGGTGAATGATTACATGGATGATGGAAGGATGGATGGGTAGATTGGATGGAAGGATGGATGGGTAGACAGACAGACAGAGCCAGGATGGATGGATTGGTGGGTGGGTGGGTGGGAGGGCGGGCAGATGGACAGATGGACTGTGTGGATGGATGAACTGAGCAGGTGGGTGAAGCATGGCTGGCTGGATGAGGGATGATTCCATGGATGGATTGATTGGAGGAGGATGGACAGACAGACAGGCAGAGCCAAAAGGCCGTGTGTCTCAGCTGCAAGCTCCCTGTCGCGGGCGGCTGGACCACCGTCAGCGTCGCCAGTCACCTGCTGGAGGACCCGGCATTTGTTTCCACTTTGGCTGTCACAACACAAGCTGCCGCGGGCTTCCCTGACAGGTCTCGGCGTGAACATAAATCCCGTTTCTCTGGGACACAGGCCGCTGTGGTCACACCTGCTGTCTCCTGGCAGGTGCTGAGGACCACGGGGCTGGGCCAGGCGGGGCTGGGCCAGGCGGGGGGAAGGAGCTCAAGGGCGGTGGGGAACAGGGGAGCAGGAACCAGGAGACCGCCCTGGACAGGAGGCCCCTCCGCCATCGCGTCACCGGAGGGAGGAGAAGCGGCCCCTTCGCGGTGGGGCGGGGTGCAGAAGGCGCGCGAGGGCCGGGCTCCGTGGGCTCCGACAGGCAGCCCCACAGCTAGAAGCACAGCCTCGCAAAACACGACCGTGACTTCCCCAGCCCCCTGGAGGCGACTGGGGGAGAAATACAAACAAACAGAGCAGGAAGCACGAAGCTGCGCTTAAACTGCGCTTTAATGAACGTGACCCTGTACCGCCAGGAAGGATCCTCGGAACACAGCGAGGGCTTAACCAGCAGCTGCCGCCAAACCCCCTCCGTCCCTGCCGGCCGCAGGCGCTGAGCCCTTCATGAAACAAAACACGATGTGCCGCTGTGGGTAAATTATGATTTTCCCCCAATACGTTCTAATCCGAACTATTTTCAGAGACGATCTGAAAGCGGTGCCCGTATCTATAAAAAGCACATGTATTTTGAGAAAGAAAAGATGAGAAATGGAGAAAAAGATACTGGAAAAAAAAAGCCGCCTGTCTGCTTCCAGCTCGTGCCAGGAATCTGATGTCCTGAGAAAATAATTCTCCCCGACCGTTTTAGGAAAATAAGAGCCGGGATAAAAATAAGCCCCTGGCCATGGGATCGGGCGAGAACGCATCCCGGAAAAGGCTAATTACAAATATGGATGGAAAAACAAACATGGATCGCCTGTGCATCCTCGTGGGGCACCTTCAAGACAAAGTATTACTAAATCTTTTAAAAGCGCCCCCCAGCTTTCTGTGTCTGCGGTAAAGGTTTCTTTTGTTGACAGCAGCCCCGTCCAGGGGACTGAGCTCCCGCAGCAGCCTGTCTCAGCCTCACGAGTGCGGCGGCCTCAGAGGCTGCGTGTTCGCGGCGCACCGGGGGTGCGGAGCAGCCTGCGAGCATCTCACTGTAGGAGCGGCGCAGCCGTTCTGCCATATTTAGAGACTTCCACGGGCCGCCCTCAGGCTGCTGAGGGTGGTGACGGCCCTGGTATGGGGCACCAGCTGGCTGTGGCAACCCAGGCGCTGCCCCCGTGTCGGAGAAGCAAGCCCAGCACGTGCAGGCCGCGCTGCCTGGAGACTGGCCGCTGAACTGCCCGTTGGTGCTGACCCCCAAGGATACCTCCCTTCCAGCCTTGCGGGGGAAGGCATCACTCCAAGCTGCAGGGTGACAGCCTACGCAGTCCCCCTGCAGCCCCAAGGCCCCGGGGTGCCCGAAACTCCAGACAGCACCAGCCCTCTAGTGCCTCTGGTCTCCCTGCCGCAGCTTCCTTTGGACGCCCAGGAAATGAGAGCTTGGGGACAACGAGTAATGATGCAACAGAACAATCACAGCAACAGACGGTTACAACGGTTACGGGATGGTGTCACGTTGTGCTGAGCCAAGGGAAACCCTCCCGGGTCTGCAGCAGCTCTGGCCTGTCCTGACCTGAGCTCCCGGAAGTCTCCTGACTCTAACCAAAGGAAACAGTGCGACGGGCCGACAGGATGGTGTGGGCACAGCAGGCAAACACCTCCAGGTGTTCTCATGAGCACTCTTGCCTCCTGCCGCAGGGGACTGCAGGTTCTGGGCGCCAGGCCCTCAGGCAGCTGTGGCCAGGCCGCCACTGACAGTCCCTCCTATTACCTGCCCACCTAGCACACCTGACCCCAGGTTCCTGGGAATTGCGTGTGACACCAGCAAGCTCCTCCCCAGCTCTCCATGCGGTCCCCTGATGGTAAACCCTCCAGCTCTGTCCAGGTGGGACTGGGGACTGGAGTGGGTGGCGATTGGGGTTCTGGCTCCAGGTGATGGGAGTATGAACAGATAACCAATTAGGAAAATTCTCAAAGTATCTACAAACACGACCGCTATTTCTCCAGAGTACACACACCCAACAAAACCGTGACCGTATTTTCACCAAAAGACAGGAGGCACCGTACCGTCCAAAGCAGCGTTATTCCAGAGTCAGGTAATCACACAAAAATAAGGGAGGAAAAAGTATAACCGTCATGACATTAGTAAATATCACTAGTGAGAAATTGAAAAGCTGATTGTTTAGCCTGCTTCCTAGCCAAAGCAGCATTACGTGAAAACTGGAAACACCGAAAATGCCAACAAAGTGGTGGATGAAGGTGGAACAGTTATGCAGTGGAATACTATACAGTGGTGAAAAGGGAGGGTCTGCATCTGCATAGAGCAGCACTGGAATATTGGACAGGGTGAGCCCAAGCAGTGCAGCACAGAGGAGAAAGCACCATTCCACCCAGTCTGCCAGCTGTGGGCTGCAGGTTGCATCCCTGGGGGTGAAGGGAGAACAGAAATGGCACAGGTAACCAACTGGGCAAAAGGTGGAGGTGAGCTGTGGTGAGCTCCCCATGGGGGGAGCCCGAGGCTCATCAGCATGGTGGAAGGGCATCGCATGGGTTTCAGGGAGCTAGACGGTCTTGTCTTGAGCTGGGTGTCAACGACAGGGTGCTCAGCTGTCAGAAGCCAGCAAGACCGAGAGGGTCATACAGAGACCTTTGGTTTTTCCCTCTCCAGAAGGCAAACCTCAAATTATGTCAGCACATACCCCGTCGTGTGGCTTGGAGTAGGGCTTTAAACACTGCAGCCGGAGGACCTGCCTGGGCTGGCCGGTCACACAAGGTGCATTCCGTAAACTTTAAAACGAGGGCATCCATCCCGTTACGAGTGAAAACGGCTGAATGGCAGGTGTGAGCTCATACTTTCTGTGAACTGTCAAACAGCTGAGTTCACTTAAGCACACATTTCCTGGCACACACAAAAATGGAAAACGTGGCCAGGAAAAAAGCTCTGGAATTTTCCATGCAGGCAGCTCTTGCTGCACCGTCTGTGCTGGAACCTTCCCCCGATGGGCTGCCTCCCACAGCCCCCCACAAGAGGGGCCATTTCATTCCACGCGGCCCCATCATTGTCCTGACGGGGACACTCTTTCCTTCCTCCTCTCCT